TGCGAAACATTCAAAGCCTCTTATTTTCGGAGAACCGACATCACGAACTAACACTCAAATGCAAGTGTGTGTCAGTTTGTGAAAACAGCGCTATCAACATTTTTGGTTTCACGAACTAGCACCCGGTAGTGCGCGAGCACATAGCACCGTGAAGCGAAATGGACTGATTTTCGTTTTCACGAACTAGCACATAAGCTTATTAGGGTAATTCAGCGTAGAGAAAAATTATTTGCAAGGTTTGACGATCATTTACTCCATCCATATTCGAATATAAGATTCGAATTAAGATACTAAAACAAAGACTGGTGTTTAGTTCGTTAGAACGAAAAGTGCCGGGAGTGTGCATTGGAAGTGCCCCACTGCACTGGGTGCTACTTTGTGAAAACGAAAATCACTCAGATCTTTAAAATGCGCACAAATGAGATCACTGCGCGCACAAATGAGTGTTACTTCGTGGTGTCGGTGACGAAATTAAAGGTTCTCGAGTATTTTTGCTATTTTGTGAAACAGATCCGTATCTGACGCGCCACCTACTGGCAGTTTCCCGTAATGTTAGACTGGTTTCGGTCCCTACATTTCCCCCCTCTTTCTTACTGTAAATGAAATACATGAAATGGGGTGGGCACCAGGTAAGTGAAATGGGGCTCTATTAAACTTTATCCGTTGAATAGAACCATGAATTCAATATTATGTGATCCGTGATCCAGCAGTCAGATGACAGGGAATTATGCAGATATTGTATAAAATATTTTTTATGTATAAAAATAATATAATAATAATATATAAAAAATCTATGAAATGGGGCGTTTTCATCTGTCACGGAACCAACCAGTAAATCAAAATAGGACTAACATACAACCGGGATTGAATGATTTTAATGCTTTTCCGGCATACGATTAAAACAGTTCGAATACTAATCCCCGCCTGGAAAAAGCCGACTAATCCCAACTCACGTTTGGGTAATAAAATTTACCGAAAGCAGACCAAAATGCAATCTCCTCATGTAGTTAGCCAAGGGACATCTAGGTTTATATACCACTTTTACCAGCACCAATTCACTGCATGCGCGCGTGGGCATTTGACTACGGCTCATTATAATGCAGTGCATGGTTGCGCGTTACGGCTCCCGACCCCTGACCTACATGTCAGGATTCGCCAGATCCCCCTGCGCCTAATTACAAGACTGCATGCAACTTGATCTTCCCACGTCGCAGCGCCAACTAAATCACTTCTGCCCAACACTCATCAACGCAAATATGATAATCCTGATGAGCAATGTTTGTAAATGACATCCGTGCGCCATCATTCGGCGCTGATTTACACTGGATTTTTTTTATAATCTCACACCATGCTCACACAATGTTCAGGTTTTTGTTCATGCATAGTACGTTACTGTCCAACTATAGTAGGCCTACTGTCGTGAACCCCACGCCCACCTCACGATTGTGTGCAACCATAGTGCAATAATTGTTGCCAAATATACTGATAAAACTCACCTTCAACCGTGCACCATCAATTGACCAAGCCCACCGGCATGTCCGCTTCACCCAGGTAACACTTTAAATAGGCTGGTCAGTAAACCTTTATGCCAGTCTGTGAAGACCAGACACTACACCAGTTAAGTGGAGCCCAGCGCTGATTATAACCTGCCCGGCGCGTGACATGCATGTCGTGAAATCGTACGATATTCGAGGCATCAGTCCTACACGTGCGCGTGCTCAACTTCAGCATACATAATTGGGGTGAAAAAGAAATTTTGTTACTCGTTGGTTCCCTGTTGTGAAATCAACCCCGCGGATAAATTCACGAGAGATTTAACTTTCATTGTCAACTACAGCTACTGTTAAGTATCAAAGATGATGTTGATGATTAAAATAACACAATATTAATCAGCATTCCGCCCGTTCATTTCATGTTCTGCTTATTTCATTTATAGCCACATAGTAACAAAATCTTGTTTCCTGTCTCAGAATGACCTCTGCTGTTACGTTGTCCTTCAGCGATAAAAAGTTTGACGAGTCGACGGCATTGTTAATATTGTGCAAAGTTTCGTGGTCTTTTATGGCCTGTTGATATTGCATATTGTAGGTGTGTGGCGTGACATGTTTACCCTGCTCGAATCCGTGATCACTCCAAGGTTAATAATTCAAGCTCCAGCATTTTCCAAATAAATAAAAAAAAACTTTAAGCCCACTGTTTGTCGATTACCGTTTATCACGAAGGAGCCACATTCAAAATGTAACCCATGCTACGCAGTGGGTTGCATTTATTGAATAAGATTTGGATGGAAATGTGTCCATAACTTTGGTTACAACGTCTTAAAAGTCGTTGCAGTAAAAACGTTTCTATAAATAAACTGAGTTGAGTTTTAAGTTTAGATTATTATTATTTTCTAAAGTACAACAAGTATTGATCTGGAAGGCTCCAAGTTTGAAATGTTAATCAGTTGATCTGAAAAGGTTCGTGCGGGCAGTGTAGTGGCCTTGGTTCCGTTCTAGAATGGAAGACATCAACACGTTTTAATACAAGTTGGGGGTTCTTGTGTACACATCCACTTTTTTCGCGAGTGTCGACCACTTTCTGCAACATACATGTACATGAGTGGCAACACGCGGCAAATTGGCACAGCCTATATAGCAAAACAATGGGGACTTCCATTTCAAAAGTTCCAATGACAAAAAAATATCCTCAATCATAAAAGAGGTTGTTTTAGTTATTATGACATAAGACTGCGCTTCATGCACGCTACAGTATTCGATCGGTGGGTAGCACTTTTTGCTTCTTGTACCAGTGATTGCATAGTGCGAGGGCCAGAGAGAACGCATTTCCCGGTGTAACGGTCTCATTTTAATATCCAGCTTGCTCGGATTTCCAGAAGAACGCACCGGATAAATGAGAACTGTGACGTTTCCACGACATGCTCATAATTATCCGCTGTGCTTATTTTTCCAGTTGCTGACGTACGTACGCCGCGTCGTCAGCCATAAGTGCGGACGTAGGAGAGGTATCTATGGTCAGTACATATCCGGTATCCATACGTAACCTCATTCTCATTGGAACGATCTTGCAGCGCCATACGCTGCCGGTTATGACCGATCTTAATTCCGACGCGCACGCAGCTCATATACGTAGTCGAAGTTGTTAGGAACTCAGCACACCCATTAAAGTGAACAAAACGGGACTTAGTGCGCAAAATGCTCACAACTCTCACATGTATTCAGGCTGCACAGCAAAAGATGTCCTCTTTAATTTTCCTTTCAAGTTATAGTGGGTTGACCAATGAATTTTTGAAAAATTCTCACCCAAAACAGACCACCCCTTAAAATGAAGGAAATTTCACCGTCCGGAAAAGAAGCCACTTTGAAAATGCATCCCTCGTCTGTAAAACGGCTCAAACAGTGCCACTTTCGGGCCCGATTGCGTCTAAATAGCTCAGAATTGGAAGCCCTGAGTCCGGGCCAGAAAGGTTCAGTGCCATATATCCTCATTTTCATGGCTCTCGGGACTCTCTGATATAGAAAAATCGAGTGTATAACTTTATTAATGAGCTCGGCGGACATATTTCTGGCCTATATACGTGGGTTCACCCTTATAGAGGCCAGGCCGCGCGTCGTTACTTGCTTTGCGCCCTCTTGTGTCCACTCATTACTGTGAGTTCAGAAATCCCAACTTGACTTATCGGCCAGCCGAATATTACGGGCGATTCACAAAAGTCCGCCTCCAAGAGTTTCAAAGTTGCCACGCGCCGGCCACCCACAACGCGCGAAATTTGTAGACCCTTTCTAAACGCGCATTGTGATTGGCCGACGCGTTGCAAACTCTTGGAGGCGCAATCTTGTGAAAGGCACGTATTGTACACAAGGAATCAGCTCATCTACCAAAACAGGCAGTAACCAATTAAAACTGCTGGACTTATAATGAAGGAATCTGCAAGTCTGATTACTTTGATTGGTGGAAATTCCTCGTCTGACTACTTTGTTGGAAATTCCTCAAGTACATTATACAAGATCATATCGTTCATGTGCAATTAGAAATAACTACAACAGGGGGTCTGAATGACTTATTCGTCAAGTTTCCACAGGGCAACCTCCTTTGTGCATACCCGTGGAACAAAAGCTCTGGTCTGCAAGATGGCAGCCATCCATGACTGGTGCACGTGACAAGCGTTGTACAATCTTTGACGTTGACGCCGGATATCACAGAAAAGCTATCCAATGAAGGCGCCTTATAAAAGGTTTTGAGAGCGGGCGAGCGCTACGACTGTATCCGGCTCGTAAGTGACTTCGTCACAAAGGCGGACGCGCCACGATTGCAGGCTCCCATTGGACGATCGCTGAAGTTGCGCGTTAACTTCCGGTTCCATGGTGCCATGTAAACGGCGATCAATGCATGTAATTCAATGTGCAGTACATGCGCAGTGGGCGTGTTTTAAACTGAAGTGAGGTCACACTTACGAACCGGATACACTGTACGTCATAGGATGGCTGACTGGGGAAGAGCAACGTAAGTCCGACTTCAAATCTACTATCAGCGCTCAGCGCAGACCTACGCGGACTTGGGCGCAGGCTTGTTCCCTAATGACCTTTTTTTAAAGTACGAAATGGCTCATTTACCACAGCCTTTGGCACTCAGGCCAACTTTTGGCCGTCATCCTGGAACGTCGTTGTAGAATAACTGTGTCCAACCTGGCATTTATTGCTGTATTTGCTACGATACGACAGAGCTCCGACTCGAGTCATGCGACTTAACCTCGAGTCGGACTCGAGTCGCTCATTTTTGTGACGTGACTTAGACCAGCAAAAAATGACTTGCTGCAGTGCAAAATACCTGAGTAGGACACGTCCACCTTCCATATCAAGCGATACAGCGCGCAGCGATGCACGCTTATCTTGTCCGCGATCTGGTACCATCAATCCCCGCTAAGTTCCAAGCGTATCCCAGGAACAGTAGCTTCTAATAACATCACAGCTAAAAATCACAATGAGGGATCCAACACGCAATTTTCACACCCTGCTCACATAATCACTATAATACTCTTTATTATCATTAAGTACATACACTTTACATTCACAGACATAAAACATTATGGACAACTATTGGTGTTTGAGACAAACAAGAATGTCTTTGTACGCAGAACATGGCGAAGCTCCGACTACATGTACTCCTTTGTTCTTAAAATTAATAAAATAAAATCCTCGAATGCGACATCGTTTTTTGTACATGCACGGATTCTCGACAATTAAATACCATAGCAGGCTTGTTCAAAGACTCCAAGCCACTTGCCTCTGACGAGGGAGAGTCCGTTAAATAATTTTGAGACCAATGAATAGCACAACTATCATTCATTAAACTTTAGCAGGGCCAAATTTTGACGAGAGCTTCCAACCATAATTTGAGAACTGCAAAACCCTCTGCGCTTGCTTTTCAGAGTTCAGGTTATACCATCCTAAATATCACATAGCGTGCACTGCTCGTGACTCAATTTTGGCTTATTTTTACTGTGCAAGTCGACTGGTTTAGCACTGTTTTCCGTTTCACGGCAGCTCCACAAAACCGGGCAAAAGACATACCCACATTCAATGGCTCGACAATAAGCCAGCTCAGCGTTTCAAAGAGGCAAGGTCATTAGAGTACTAAGCATGCAGGCCAGTTTGCATATGTCCTTGATGATCGGGCAGACCCGTGAGCCCATTGCTGTTCCCAATGACCTAAGATGCGCTTTATTTGGACATGCGCCAATGGAACGCTGAACTGACTAATTGGTCTAATAATTTGGAATGCCACACATCACTGCAAAGCTGTCTCAGAATACGTTCTGGACCAATTGTTCTGGTGTAGAGGAAAATTATTTTTAAAGTCTGGAAGGTAAATAAGACGGGAAAAGATAAGTGGCTGGTAAGTTGTCAGGAAGAAATCTAGAACATAAATTCCTTTTTTGGGCTTATGAAGAGTGTTATTTTGGGAAACAAAAAGAAGTTAACTGTGGAAAAGATGGTGTCAGTGGACTCTTCCCTTCTTTGTGGCAACCTACAAAATCATTCCTGCGAGTCACAGAAAGTTGCTGAGTAGTTTGTGCACATTCAGAGGAAAAATTGTATATACATGTACACACAATTCAAGTCATATATGTATATAATCAAGACTAGCAATACAGCTTTGCTATGGCTCTCAGGAGTGGCTGCTTGGACGTCATTGTTCGTGGCTAGCTATCTTGCAGTAAACTCATAAAAAAAGCAAAGGATGGCACTCTGCCTCAACATTTTAAAACTGCAGTGACATTAGTGTTCTTACTAGTTGGTGGCCTGTACTGTCAAAGAAAGACCTTTTGCATGAACAATGGAATCTTTACAATTTTGTGAAACTTAATTCATGAACTGGTCACTAAATTACCAGTTTTAAGATCAACTATCATAAAATTATAACACCAGACATGACATCAATGGCAGAAGACAAGCACTCTTTCAAAAAATTTGGGGTCTTAGCAAAATGGAGAAGCTGTGGGGTCTTTGATGTTGAACATGTCCTTGAGGGAGATGTCATCTGGAGGGGTGATCCCTTGCTTAGATGGGTCTGTCAGTTCTGGCTCTACTTTGGTTGGATTTCCCACAGTGCCCGGAGCACTTTCACCCTTTGCCTTAACAGCTGGGGACCCCTGATTAGGATTTGAAGGACGAGCTATGCTTTGATTGAATGAGCTGGTAACCTGCGGCAGACGATGGTGAGCTGACGGGACTTGCCGATGCTCCATTGAACCACTTGTCAGCTTGGTGTTGTCTTCAGATGAAGAGTCTGCCTCTGACTTGTCCGTCTTCTTGGGAATTTTTGGAATGGAAAATCCGGCAAGACCACTTTTCCGTTCCGCGGGTCTCTTGCGAGATTCTACGACCCCCGCGTGGTCCAAATCACCTGCACTCCCCTTGGTCCTTTTAGAACGTCTAGCTGGTAAATCAGAGTCTGAGCCAGAGTCCGACACCGAACTTGTGATTTCTGGTTTGTCGTTCTCGCCCCGTAATTTAATCCTTAGTATCAGTGGCGGCTCTTTCAGGTTGCTGACAGGTTTGGATGACGCAGATGGACTAGTAGGGGTTGAATCGTCTCTCGGAAATTGCTTAATTTCTTTACTTTCGGCACGAGGAGATGTGGCCGGAGCAGAGTTCTGGCGAATCAGAGTGCTTCCTTCCATTTGACTTTTGGTGTCGCTGCCTTTAGGCAGGCTCAACTGCCTTGATAATCTTGGGTCAGATGTTTTCACAGAGGCAAGCTTCGCTTCGGCTTGTTCAGTTTTAGGCCCTGTCTCCTGTTCCTGTGCACTGCTCGATTGTGGGGGCAACTTTGCCGTGCCAGTATTTGTAATGAGAGGGGGATTTAACGAAGCATCACCAGCACCAGAATTCCTTAATTCTGAGGGTCCTTGTGAAAGTGGTTCGCTACTTGAAGGATTACTAAATGTTGGCTCCTGCCTGTTATCAGGAGCTGGGTTTCTCATTGGACTTTGGCCTCTTGGTGGGGGTCCTCTCACTGGCGGTGGACCCCTCATCAGAGGTCCTCTCACAGGGGGTCCAATATTTGGGCCAGGTCCCCCAAACTGTTGAGGTCCCATATTTGGGGGTGGCCCCCTGGTCGGCATTCGGTTGGGGCCTTCGCCAAACCTTGCTCCTCTGAATGGCATACCCTGTTGAGGAGGGAATCTGGGTCTCGGATTCCTCATGGGATGGCCTGGTGGACCACGAGGAGGGAACCTCGGTCCTTGATTCATGCTGCCTGGCGGTCCACTGCCAGGAGGGAACCTAACAGGAAACCTACCATTGGGAAAAGGTGGAAAGTTTGGGTTCTGAGGGGGCATTCCTGGTGGATGCGGACCCTGAGGACGAAACGGACCTCCAGGAGGAAATCCCAACATGCCAGGAGGTTGCATCCCTACCTGGGGGGTTGGAAGAAGCCCCCCTTGCTTTGCCGGTTTTCAACGCCCTCCTGTGCTGGATTTGAATTCGCTGCTGCACCTACACCCAGTCTGGGGTCCCGGTTGGCCAATCTTGGATCTCGGGGGGCTTGGACAGCTGCCTCATTATTGCCTTGATTATTTTCACCACTTTGAGTTCTAGGATCGCGAGGCCGCTGAATTCTTGGGTCTGCTGGTCTGATAGTTCTGGGGTCTGTTTGTGCCTGCACAGAAGGCGTTACGGTTGCAGTGGTTGGTGCGCCAGAAAAATCTGGCTGTGATTTTAGTTCGGTGGGTGTCAGAAGCTCAATGGGTGCTAAGGTCGGTCGACTCTCTGTATCATTGATTGTATACTCGTTATCTTTCCACAGAAGCTTCCGAAGCCGTAAGTCGGACTTATCTTTCTTTTCTCTGTCTGCCCTTGGATCCTTGAGTTTCTCATTGTGGGTAACCTCAAGCAAGACAAATTCTGTCACCTTCCTGGAGAGAACCGAGCTGTCGCCCCCTGCATCTGGAAATGTAGTTTGGTCAGAGCTAGACTTTACAGTGATGAGAAGATTTGGTAATGTGGGTGGAGCGGGCGAGGTACTTTTGTTAACCAGGCCCAGGATGCTGCTGAGGGCATTCTGCTGAGCTAGCACATTAGGGTCAGATGCCTGTCCGACTGTCGGCTTCTTTGCAGAGAACAAGCTGGCAAGGGCATTTGGCAGAAGCTGGGTGGAAGCTGGTTGTGAAGACGGACTGGAATCTGGAGGCTTTTCTGTACCAGGAGTGCCACATTGAGAGTCACTCTTCTCCCTGACATGCTTGATGACAGTGGTGAGAGAATTTGATGAATCTCCAACTCCATCCTCTTCATCACTGGAGTACCAGTTGTCATCGTCACGGGCTGTCATTAAAAAAAACAAGAAAATCAAACCGTTTTACTGGACTACAAAACAAAAACGGTGGGGTAGTATAACACCACTCACTGTCAATGTTTGGAAAAACAATTCTTCCAAATCTTGTTTTCTTTAAGCTAGTGATTTGCAAATCCGTGGAAATAAAATGTATGTTTGATCTCATGAGTGGTGTATGGACATCCTAACAATTAGTTCTTGTTCAAGTACAAATAAAATCACAGAGATGTTCCATTTGTGAGATTTGTGAGGGTGGCAATAACGTCAAAAACAGCAAGCATTGTGTTGTCAGCTCTACGTAAATGTGACCCTTCTAAGGTGGCAAAAAGAGAATGAGGTGACAC